AAGAAGAAGAAGAAGAAGAAGAAGAAGAAGAAGAAGAAGAAGAAGAAGAAGAAGAAGAAGAAGAAGAAGAAGAAGAAGAAGAAGAAGAAGAAGAAGAAGAAGAAGAAGAAGAAGAAGAAGAAGAAGAAGAAGAAGAAGAAGAAGAAGAAGAAGAAGAAGAAGAAGAAGAAGAAGAAGAAGAAGAAGAAGAAGAAGAAGAAGAAGAAGAAGAAGAAGAAGAAGAAGAAGAAGAAGAAGAAGAAGAAGAAGAAGAAGAAGAAGAAGAAGAAGAAGAAGAAGAAGAAGAAGAAGAAGAAGAAGAAGAAGAAGAAGAAGAAGAAGAAGAAGAAGAAGAAGAAGAAGAAGAAGAAGAAGAAGAAGAAGAAGAAGAAGAAGAAGAAGAAGAAGAAGAAGAAGAAGAAGAAGAAGAAGAAGAAGAAGAAGAAGAAGAAGAAGAAGAAGAAGAAGAAGAAGAAGAAGAAGAAGAAGAAGAAGAAGAAGAAGAAGAAGAAGAAGAAGAAGAAGAAGAAGAAGAAGAAGAAGAAGAAGAAGAAGAAGAAGAAGAAGAAGAAGAAGAAGAAGAAGAAGAAGAAGAAGAAGAAGAAGAAGAAGAAGAAGAAGAAGAAGAAGAAGAAGAAGAAGAAGAAGAAGAAGAAGAAGAAGAAGAAGAAGAAGAAGAAGAAGAAGAAGAAGAAGAAGAAGAAGAAGAAGAAGAAGAAGAAGAAGAAGAAGAAGAAGAAGAAGAAGAAGAAGAAGAAGAAGAAGAAGAAGAAGAAGAAGAAGAAGAAGAAGAAGAAGAAGAAGAAGAAGAAGAAGAAGAAGAAGAAGAAGAAGAAGAAGAAGAAGAAGAAGAAGAAGAAGAAGAAGAAGAAGAAGAAGAAGAAGAAGAAGAAGAAGAAGAAGAAGAAGAAGAAGAAGAAGAAGAAGAAGAAGAAGAAGAAGAAGAAGAAGAAGAAGAAGAAGAAGAAGAAGAAGAAGAAGAAGAAGAAGAAGAAGAAGAAGAAGAAGAAGAAGAAGAAGAAGAAGAAGAAGAAGAAGAAGAAGAAGAAGAAGAAGAAGAAGAAGAAGAAGAAGAAGAAGAAGAAGAAGAAGAAGAAGAAGAAGAAGAAGAAGAAGAAGAAGAAGAAGAAGAAGAAGAAGAAGAAGAAGAAGAAGAAGAAGAAGAAGAAGAAGAAGAAGAAGAAGAAGAAGAAGAAGAAGAAGAAGAAGAAGAAGAAGAAGAAGAAGAAGAAGAAGAAGAAGAAGAAGAAGAAGAAGAAGAAGAAGAAGAAGAAGAAGAAGAAGAAGAAGAAGAAGAAGAAGAAGAAGAAGAAGAAGAAGAAGAAGAAGAAGAAGAAGAAGAAGAAGAAGAAGAAGAAGAAGAAGAAGAAGAAGAAGAAGAAGAAGAAGAAGAAGAAGAAGAAGAAGAAGAAGAAGAAGAAGAAGAAGAAGAAGAAGAAGAAGAAGAAGAAGAAGAAGAAGAAGAAGAAGAAGAAGAAGAAGAAGAAGAAGAAGAAGAAGAAGAAGAAGAAGAAGAAGAAGAAGAAGAAGAAGAAGAAGAAGAAGAAGAAGAAGAAGAAGAAGAAGAAGAAGAAGAAGAAGAAGAAGAAGAAGAAGAAGAAGAAGAAGAAGAAGAAGAAGAAGAAGAAGAAGAAGAAGAAGAAGAAGAAGAAGAAGAAGAAGAAGAAGAAGAAGAAGAAGAAGAAGAAGAAGAAGAAGAAGAAGAAGAAGAAGAAGAAGAAGAAGAAGAAGAAGAAGAAGAAGAAGAAGAAGAAGAAGAAGAAGAAGAAGAAGAAGAAGAAGAAGAAGAAGAAGAAGAAGAAGAAGAAGAAGAAGAAGAAGAAGAAGAAGAAGAAGAAGAAGAAGAAGAAGAAGAAGAAGAAGAAGAAGAAGAAGAAGAAGAAGAAGAAGAAGAAGAAGAAGAAGAAGAAGAAGAAGAAGAAGAAGAAGAAGAAGAAGAAGAAGAAGAAGAAGAAGAAGAAGAAGAAGAAGAAGAAGAAGAAGAAGAAGAAGAAGAAGAAGAAGAAGAAGAAGAAGAAGAAGAAGAAGAAGAAGAAGAAGAAGAAGAAGAAGAAGAAGAAGAAGAAGAAGAAGAAGAAGAAGAAGAAGAAGAAGAAGAAGAAGAAGAAGAAGAAGAAGAAGAAGAAGAAGAAGAAGAAGAAGAAGAAGAAGAAGAAGAAGAAGAAGAAGAAGAAGAAGAAGAAGAAGAAGAAGAAGAAGAAGAAGAAGAAGAAGAAGAAGAAGAAGAAGAAGAAGAAGAAGAAGAAGAAGAAGAAGAAGAAGAAGAAGAAGAAGAAGAAGAAGAAGAAGAAGAAGAAGAAGAAGAAGAAGAAGAAGAAGAAGAAGAAGAAGAAGAAGAAGAAGAAGAAGAAGAAGAAGAAGAAGAAGAAGAAGAAGAAGAAGAAGAAGAAGAAGAAGAAGAAGAAGAAGAAGAAGAAGAAGAAGAAGAAGAAGAAGAAGAAGAAGAAGAAGAAGAAGAAGAAGAAGAAGAAGAAGAAGAAGAAGAAGAAGAAGAAGAAGAAGAAGAAGAAGAAGAAGAAGAAGAAGAAGAAGAAGAAGAAGAAGAAGAAGAAGAAGAAGAAGAAGAAGAAGAAGAAGAAGAAGAAGAAGAAGAAGAAGAAGAAGAAGAAGAAGAAGAAGAAGAAGAAGAAGAAGAAGAAGAAGAAGAAGAAGAAGATTCCGATTGGATTGCAATTCCTGCCATGGATCTTCCTCGCGTTGCAATTAGATTGAACAAGTGATTATGCCCTTCTTTCCTCTTCCTCTTTATCTCTCATTCTCCCTCTCTCCATTTCTCTTTTCGATTCTTCCCCCGTTGCATCAAATGTTTATAATAAGAACATCTAGTATCTATGTCCTTTGTTAATATGTAATGGTTTCCCGCCTTATTTCTTGCTTGATTAATTTGTTCGTCCTTTGACTGGTTAATTGGTTTGTCAGAGAGTTTGTTAAATAAAAAGGCAATGATATATTTCTGATAGGATTCTATGGGTGGGTTGGCCATGGTACAGGGACCGTGCATGTAGAAGGTTGACGGAGAATCGCAGCCAAAGACGGGTCTAGGATTTAGTTGCACCGTTCGTCGCCAGGGGAATTCGTTTTACTTATTGACTTTCTTGTTTTATTTTATTTATTTTATCTATTGCTTTGTTTATGTATCTATTCATTTATTTGTTTGTTTGTTTTATTGTTTATTAACTTTCTTATTTATTTATTCATTTCATGTATTTTTTCTATTTATTTATTCATTTATGTATTTTTCTATTTAGTCATTCATCTATTTATTTGTATATCTATTCATTTGTTTGTTTATTTATGTACGTATTCATTCATCGATTTATTTATGTACGTATTCATTCATCGATTTATTTATGTACGTATTCATTCATCGATTTATTTATTTACGTATTCATTCATCGATTTATTTATGTACGTATTCATTCATCGATTTATTTATGTACGTATTCATTCATCGATTTATTTATGTACGTATTCATTCATCGATTTATTTATGTACGTATTCATTCATCGATTTATTTATGTACGTATTCATTCATCGATTTATTTATGTACGTATTCATTCATCGATTTATTTATGTACGTATTCATTCATCGATTTATTTATGTACGTATTCATTCATCGATTTATTTATGTACGTATTCATTCATCGATTTATTTATGTACGTATTCATTCATCGATTTATTTATGTACGTATTCATTCATCGATTTATTTATGTACGTATTCATTCATCGATTTATTTATGTACGTATTCATTCATCGATTTATTTATGTACGTATTCATTCATCGATTTATTTATGTACGTATTCATTCATCGATTTATTTATGTACGTATTCATTCATCGATTTATTTATGTACGTATTCATTCATCGATTTATTTATGTACGTATTCATTCATCGATTTATTTATGTACGTATTCATTCATCGATTTATTTATGTACGTATTCATTCATCGATTTATTTATGTACGTATTCATTCATCGATTTATTTATGTACGTATTCATTCATCGATTTATTTATGTACGTATTCATTCATCGATTTATTTATGTACGTATTCATTCATCGATTTATTTATGTACGTATTCATTCATCGATTTATTTATGTACGTATTCATTCATCGATTTATTTATGTACGTATTCATTCATCGATTTATTTATGTACGTATTCATTCATCGATTTATTTATGTACGTATTCATTCATCGATTTATTTATGTACGTATTCATTCATCGATTTATTTATGTACGTATTCATTCATCGATTTATTTATGTACGTATTCATTCATCGATTAATTTATGTACGTATTCATTCATCGATTTATTTATGTACGTATTCATTCATCGATTTATTTATTTACTTGTTTTTATAGAGCTGCATCTACGTGAATAAATGCATCTACAGTAACGAGTTCGTGTTCGTGGAGAGTTAAAAAGGACAGCGCTTTTAGCGAATAAGAACACGTACGTAGACAAGCGCGTGTTCGTGGACAATGCTAAGTCTGTTTATCTGACACGAACATGCGAATACACGGCACACTTTCAATCAACAAATGCAAACAGTCCTTGAATTCATTACCAAACAGCAGCTGCAAACTAGCAATGTTTGTGATGTGCAAAAGTGGGATTAGAGTTGAAGAAGATGAAGAGGGAGAAGTAGAAAAGGATGAAGGAGAAGGAGAGGAAGAAGACGAAGAAGAAGAGGAAGAAGTAGAAGAGGAAGAAGAATAAGAAGAAGAAGAAGAAGAAGAAGAAAAAGAAGAAGAAAACAAAAAGAATAGGAGGAACAGGAAGACAATAGTACTAATAGTGAACAATAATGATAAAGATAGATAAAAAAGATAAAAAAATAGAACAGGATCAAAATAACACAGAAGACGAAGAAACTCCAAAATTACATAAAATGATAAGAAGGAAGAATGAATGAAAAAGAAAAGAAAAGAAAAAAAAAATCCCCAGCCTCTTCCACTTGAGAAATTCAGCTTCGTGTAGTTCCGATTTGCACGCCTCCGATAGAC